GCCTACCACGTGTCCTTCCATCTTCCTAGGCCTTCGGGGCATGGAGGACTTCCCTTTCCCCAACACGGATCTGCTACAGAAAGCCTGAGAATGGGGCTGCTGCCTCAGTCTGTGGATGCAACTCTGTGAAGCTGAGCCACGTGCTGTCTTCCAAACAGGGGAGAGCAGTTTCCATCCTGTGCACCCAGTGGTTGAGCAAGAAGGATGTGACGGGCCCCAGGAAGACAGCAGAAGCCGGCACTGACAGAGGCAGCATCCTGGCACTGCAGCTCAGATCTCAGCTCCTCCCAAGAGCCTCAGGGTGTGGTGAGCGAAAAGGTCATGAGTAAACATCTCCAAGGCCCAGCGGCTCCAGGACTAAGGGCTTTGAATTCTCATCTGTAAGGTTGTGCAGCGAGTTTAGTTACAACCTCAGGGCAGTGAAGAATGCCCAGTAGCATTAGACTGTGGGCACTGGGGCCTCCTGGGTCTCAGGACAGGGGTCTTATAGCCCCATAACTATACTTGTTCACCTCTCCCTTCTCAACTAGGTCAACAGCTGCTGAGAACCCCTGCAAAGCCACCTGCTGTGTTCTAGAACATACAGGCCTGCAGGACCCCTACCGACACCTGTTGCTGCCAGGATGCCTCTGCCCTCTCCTGACTAAGATAAATAGACTTGGGTCAATAATTATCTAAAAGGATTGATTCCTGTAGTGACAGAGGGAGTCCCGGAAAACTAAAGCGTCCTGGCTGTTGTTAAAAGCAGAGAGCAAAGTCCACCTCTGAGCTGAATTCCTGATATTTTGAGAATACTCACATGGCCCCGCAACATATCCTGGCCCAAGCCAGAGAACTTTCTCACTGGGATTTGTTCCAGGACTCCAGTAGAGTCCCTCTTCTCAAATAGGAAGTACTGACTCAGGAGATTGTCCCAGCCTAGTGTAGGAGAGTGGTTGCATCAGCAGCAGAGGACCATTCGATAGCAGTGGAGAGCATCCGGTGTGCTCCAACCCACCCGTATTCCTGCTCAGTCTTTCTCCCTGTTGGGTCAAGTCAACTGTTCTGCCCAAACTACAACCAAAGCTGCTAGCCCACTGCTATCTGGAGACTGAGGAAGAAAGAAAGAACAGCAATTAATCACGTAGGGTTCTCACAGAAACCCCTGAATGAGTAAATGCATGGGGTGAAAAAGGACTTTCACCAGGAAGCTGTCTCAAAGAGGAGGAAGGAGGCAAAAGGTTTTGGTGCCAGTATCTGCCCATCCTGCAAAGAGTTAGAGCCATTTGGGAGGTAGTGGGTGCCGAGAGAGGGGAGATAGCTGCCCTGCTGCTAGGAGGGCTCTTGAGGGGGGCCCCCACACACAACACACAAGGACGTTAAGAATGCTGCAACAGGTGAAAAGAGTGAACAGGAACACTTGGGGCCATCACTCTGTTTACTCACAACCTAAACAGACCTGTTGCCGTTTAATCTGAGGAAGAGGCACTTTCCTGATACAGGTGGGGAAACTGAGGCATGGAGTAATTTAGGGGCTACTTAAAGTTAACAGTTCTGCTCCGTGTCCATGGTCTCACCTTATTGGTACATTGCTTGCATAGGACTTTAAGAACCAGCATCTTCTCACTAATCATCCCAGAACCTAATGAAATCATGCTTCTCTTTAAATCCTTTGGAGCACATGTTCAGCCTGCTTCTTCCTGCTCTTATTAGGAGAGCCAAAAGAACAGCTAACTCAGAAATTCTTGACAAAAAGGAAACAAGACTTGGGCTGAGGTACAAGAAATCTAGCAATTGATTGCTTTCTCCCACTTCTCAAAAGCAGTTAGTGATCAACAGAAGAGAAAAGCGCTAACATTCACCAAACTCATGTTTCATAGGAAGCATCTCATTTCACCTCCAGTGCCCTAGAAAGGAATTATTATTGGAGTTTTAGCAGAGGAGGGAGCCACCCTTTCTAGAGAAGTCAGGAGTCTGGTTACACTTGTTCCTCCACCAGAAAGCCCCTCCCACAGTCACCTGACAGAAGTCCCCAAACTGCCTAGAATATAAGTGAGGGGACTTTCTGGAACCTTGATCTGGGAAGCAGGCCCTTCCTCTTCAGCCACTCCCGACTCAGGACTACCACAACATCCATCACTGGGGTGATGTATACACATGTGCATGCACACACCCTGCCATGCACATCCTAAAATTCAGCTGCCTTGGGGCCGGTGGCAAAAGAAGAAGGAAAAATTTCCAAGAAGGTAGAGGATAGCATGGAAAGTGAAGGTCTACTCTCCTGACCAGACAGGTGCTAGGCCTCAAGACAGGTTAACACTGACTGCTCATCTCACAGCTCCTCAAGGTCCAGGAGGCTCCTCCAGGCATATCTGCCAGCCCCAAGCAGATGAGTAGATGGCAACAATGGGATGCCTCCCCTGGGTGCCAGAAGCAAACTCCATCCCTTCTCCCTGACTTCCCAGGGTCCTGGAAAATCAGGAAGTACCAGGTTGGTGCTTTCCAGAGGGAACACCAGCCCTCTCCCCTGCATTCTGCCCTGGCCACTGCACAGGCCCAGGTCTCTGTCTCAGGGTGCAGGTTGAATGGCCAAATGCTGGAGACTAGATTTAGGGATGGGGGAAGAAACAGGCCAAAGAGCAGATCACTCACAAGTCACTGCAGGTCAGAGAAGGAAGCAAGACCTCACTCCCTTGGAGTGAGGAGCAGGGCTCACTGGACCAGCGTTGGAAGGGGTGGGCAATCTGGGAATGATCCCTGCTTTCTTTGCGATCCTGTCTTTTCTTCTCGAGGCAGGACCTATAGACAAAGCGTCTAAGGGGTATGGTACTCATCCATAGGACTGGCTTGATTGCTGAGTGAATGAGTGAGTGTCTAACTACCTCCCATCCAAAGTCCAGCTCTCAAGCTAAGAAGAAAGGACAAGAAACTAACATTGGCTTCTAGTTTAATCCCCCGTCTTAAACGGGAGGAATTATTCCCACTGCACTAATGGCAGGTGAGGGATAGGGTAGGCATGATTTGTCTGGTCACATTCTCTAAGGAAGTTGCTGAGCAGGCTCTACTCTGCTGCCCATGGTCACCTTGCAGGGCCCCGATGCCCCCGGTTGGGGTGGTAACAACATGAAGGAGACCAGTTTTTGTGACCTGTGGCTATCTGTGGGGCAGGGGCGCTGGCTCCCACAAGCTGGGCAAAGACCAAAGTGGAGTCGGGCTGGAGGTGGAGCCGCACTACAGGCAGACAGGGGGCCAAGGCGGTGCTTCCCGGGGGCGAAGCAACCCGGGCGCTACAGGCACCCTGCGGTTGCACCACAAGCTTCCTGGATGGAAGGACACGTGGCCCCGGGGCCCCACAACGGTTTCCTTAGACTGGCCTCCGCCCCTCGCTTTCCAGCTCATCTGACCCCCGCCCAGCCCTCCGGAATCCCGCTGCAACTGCTCCCGGATCTCGGATCCCGACTACCCGCGCCGCCCTCTGCTGCCTTCCACCGCTAGCCTCTATTTCCACCGCTAGCCTCTATCCCAGCTCCCTCGTGCCCGCGCAGTGCTCACGCTGTCCCCGCGCCCCTGCCCCAGCGCACCCCTGCCCCACCGCGCCCCAGCTGGCACTAACCCCCATGGCCGCGCTTCAGTCTCAGGCTGGCTCGAAGGCGGCGGCCGAGCCCCTCCATGGCCCCCCTAGTGCCCGGCGCCCCGTCCCCGGTCCGGCCCCGACACTTTCACTTTCACGCGGGGGGAGGCAGAGGGGACCGGCCCGGGGCGGGGCGGCGCACCTTCCGGGCTCGGGCCCAACCCCTGGCGCACCTGGGCGGGCCCGCTCTTTCCTGGGTCCCTGGCAGGGCGTCGTGGGGTGGCAGAAGGCGCTCGACTTTCCGGAAGGGGGCGGTGCCGCCTCGCTCCCACCTCCCCGCGGGGCACCCCAAGAAGCCGGATTTTCTGACCCCCCCCCCAGCCTCCGAACATGAGAGATAGTGGCTGAAGTCTCCCCCATCTCCAGAACAAGGGCTGGGAGGTAAACCTTCCAGGTGCCTGCGGAAGGGAATCGATTTCAGAATCCTCCCTACCATCCCTTCCACCTCTCTGCATGCAACTGCTTAGTCTCTGGTCATTTCCAGTGCCCTCGCCGTTGTCGTCCTCTCACCCTTCGCTCCCGTCGGGGTACTGGAGATGTGGATTAGGAGCCTGACCGTGTCTAACATTGTTCTTGGGCAGATCTGAAAAATGGGGGTAATTCCTGCCTTGCTACTCCACCGAAATGGGAAAGTGAGAGAGTGGAAAGCGTTTGGTAAGCTACTCACGCACATGTAAGCAACTCTCACTTTATGTTCCTCTTATCCCAAATCCAATGCAACCTTCCGGCTCCTGCTCCCTCTTCTCACTGCCATTGACTTCCAGGTATGCCTGAACATCAAATTTCAGTTATCAACCACGACATTTTCCACGTGATAAGTGCTGCTTGCTCCTGGGAGATTTGCCGATACTCCCCACCTCCCAGGACATGTATTTGTAGGGATGGGAAGAGCAGAGTCCATCTGAAGTTTCACTACCCTTCAAGGATGTTAGCCCAGTTTCAGGAGTGGAAGGCAGTGGAGTGCTGTCAGACACTCTGAAAGCATTTAGTGTGGGGTCTGTGGAAATGACTCCTAGACCTACTGCCCTTTTGCCTCTCCTCTTGCATTGCCTCAGGTTGGAAATCAAGCCCTAGTATTAAACTGTCTAGTCTTAGTTCAGAGGTTCTGAAAGTTTATTTTACACTGGACATCTGCAATTTTGTGCTTAATTACACAGTCTGTTTCTGTTCTCTATTCTCTGTGTATTTCCACCACAAGGACACATCTCTTCCCCAAGTGCCGCCTTTTGCCTGAGCCTGTGTCTTGGGAGTCTCTCTGCAAGAACAAGTAGCTACTCATGATAAATTCTTTCAACTGGCTGTTATGTACCTTAATTTTCCTAAGCTATTTTAAGATGTGCCCAACCAGATTATTTTCTTACTTTATTTTTATTATTTATCTACTTATTAAGTTATTTTTGCTATTAGGGCACATGTACTCACTGGAGAGATAGAGGAAGAGAGACAGAAAGTGAGAAATCACCCCCGTTGGGGGATGGCCATGCTGCAATCCCTTCTCCTCCTGGGGTTTCTAGCATGCAGATACGCGCATGCACACACACACACACACACACACACGGAGTGATTTTCAAGCCACTGAACCAATGACTTGAACCATGGTCAACCACATGGGAGTCCTGTGCCTTAACCATTATGCAACCTGCTGCCCCCTATTTTCTTCCTCTAAAAACAAAAAAAGAGGGGATGGCAGATGGCATAATGGTTATGATGCTGGACTCTCACATGACCAAACACAGTTTGAGTCCCACACCCAGAAGCTTGAAAATCAAACTGGGCACATGTGCAGGCATGCTCAAAATCCCAGGATAATAGAGGAGAAGGTATCGTGGCATGGCCATCCCTCCTGGGGGAGGGGGGTAATTTCTCACTTTCTTTATCACTATCTTTCTCTCTAGTAAGTATAGAGAGAAAGCAAAAACCTTTAAAAAACAAACAAAAGCACAAATAAAGAAGAGTGTGCATATGCGCACCAAAAGACAAATACAACACTGTTCATGGAGACCTTATTTGCAATAGCATTGAACTAGAAATAGCCTCAAATGTTCATTAATAGTAAATGGGATGGAGGCCAACAGGTGACATGGTGGTTAAGGCACTGGACTCCCACATGTCCGACAACAGTTCAAGTCCCGGAAACTGCCAGCTGGCTTTCTCTTTCCTTTTCTGTCGCTAGCTCTCTCTGGTCACATTTAAATAATAATAATAAATAATTAATTAAATAAAATAATTATTTTAAAAACTAGTAAGTGGGATGAATTGCAGCACATTTACACAATGGGGTGCTAAACAGTGATATAAGTGAATAAATGACGGCTGCATGCAGTAGCATGACTACATTAAACAAACATAATGTTCATCGAAGGAACAGACGCAACGGAGTACGTAAGGTAAGGTTCCATTTCAATAAAGTTTAAAATAGGCACAATTAGTCTCTGGTATGAGAAATCAGGATAGTTACCTTTAGGGAAAAAGGAGAAACTAATGATTAAGAGCATATTATAGGGCCTCTGTGGGGCTGGTAATGTCCTATTTCTTAATCTGCTGGTAAATACGCAAGTATATTCACTATATAATCATTCTTTTCACTACACATGTAAACACTCGTCTGTAAACATTTAAGATTTTAAAATGTTTTTTATTCTTTAGGACATTAGGGTAACATTAATGAAGGTAGTGAAATGGAAGTGGAAGCTACTTGAGAATGAAATGAGAAGGTGCCGGCATATGAATAAGTGAAGTATAATCCATATTTTTCAGAAGTATGAGTAACAACAGGAAAAACGTTCATTGGTCCAGTTAGAGAGAGATTTGAGTTTCCAGTGGTGAGTTAAGATGGGCCCGGTCAGAGCATGTTAATGGACACAGAGACAAGAACCAGAAGGGGAGAGGCTTGGAACAAGCAGAGGAAAGAGAGCCAGCAGGTGGAACAAGGTCTGAAAGGAAAGGGAGGAGGGAGCAAGCAGCGGCTTACAGAGAAGTTTGGCCTTGAATGTGAAGAGGGAACTTTATCTGAAGGGAAAAAAAAAGAAGAGAAGAAATGTAGATGTGGATAACATTTGTAAATAAGGAAGTGAGAAGTTAAAGGATACAAGAGGCCTCTGTTTCTACTGAGAGGAAAATTTATTTTTCTTCTTGTCTTTCTCCCCCTCTGAGGCTGGCTATGGAAGAAAGTGACCCCAGCCTTTTTTTTTTTTCCTAGTGGTTTTGAAAATAAAAACGCAAATCAATTTTATTCAGGGGGACAGCATAACCTACGGAATGAGCTTGGGCATCTGAGAATCCCGTTGGCCCCACTCCGTCTCGCACTTGCTTTTGGATTAGGCATTTCCCTGAGCCGCACTCTCCTGAGATACTAAAATCACCTTGGAAGTTAGTCATAAGGATTCCAAAGAATGTATGTGTAATTCAAATCCCAAACATCACATAGCCCTTTAATTCTCAAATCACTGTAGTCTCAGCTTCATCTCTTCTCATTGCAAAAACACTCTCTCTTATCAGGCTCTATCTCCAGGTATTTCTGAGAAGCCCCAAGAATGGTTGCATACTCCATGGCCCAGTTCTGGTGCTCACTTGTGATCAGAATCCACCATAAGGATTCCTACTATTACTGCTTCCTTCCACAGTTATACCCACTGGCTCAAAACAGAAAGCAGCTCACTGTGCCATTTTACCTCACTTGGACATAAACACTATCTGCAGTTCCATGCAGCGATAGTTGAGACTGGGAGGAAAGTTTGTTGAGACATTGATTTGTGATAAGGGAAGTATGTTACAAAGGAAAAATTTAAAGACAGAGCATCACTGCTCTTGGGGTCTCTCCTGGGGACTTATCTGCCTGTGTTTGGCAGGGGCCAGCTGACTTGTGTGGAAATGGCACATGGAAATGGCCCTGATTCCAGTCCTGCCTCAGTATTCACACAGTCTAGAGTGACTGACAACAGCAATGAATGTTATGCTCTGGGAGGACCCTGCCTCATATGTAAGACCTTACCTCATCCTTTGCCACAAGATATCACCACAACAACAAAGGCAACCCCCCTCCCCACTACCAAGAATGGGCCCAGCAGTACAGAATCACAAGCACACCATCAGTAATCCTGGACAATTCCTCTTCCTTTTCAGATCCACAGAAGCTCAAGTTATGTACACTTTGAATTTTAACTTCTCATCCCCTGTGAGAAACAATTTGAATAATAATACCTACATATCTGCCAGGGACAAACAATGTTATTATCCAGAGTTAGAAAAAAGCATCTGAATATTGAAAGCAAAGATGGGGACCAGCAGTTAGCATAATGACGATGTCGCTGAACTCCCATGTAGCCAACTGCAGTTCGAGTCCTGGACCCGGTGGCTTAAACTCACGCCAGGCACATGTGCGTGTGTGCTCAAGATCCCAAGAGGAGAATGAAGGAAAAGGGATTGCCGCATGGCCATCTCCCCTGGGGGGTGATTTCTCGCTTTCCGTCTCTCTGTCTCTCTTTGTCTTTCTGGCGAGCACACGTGCCCTAGAGTAAAAACAAACAAACAAACAAACAAACAAAAATTCATCAAAAAAAAAAGCAAAGATGATCTTTTATTGGGTTGTTGGAAAAGTCATGATGTATTTTTCTATGTTTTTCCATGCAAAAATGTGTCATATTTCTGACAACCTAATACATTACCACAAAGAACTTATGAAGTCAAAATTCTCAAAGCCCTCTCTCCTAGACAAGAGTCTCTGCTCTTCTTTTGATGACCAGAAATTTGTTTCCTCAAATGAAAAGTGTGATTGAACCGTCTTTGTTTATTCTCTGGTTTCATCTTATGCCACTTTGTCTCTTTTTATATAGCCCTTTCTGTTCTTCCTAAGGGTCAAGACCAACATTTTGCATACGCTGGTCCCTGTGCTTCGAATGTTCTTTTTTCTATTAACTTCTTTTCATTCTTTATATCTGACTTAAATTACATTTTCAAGTAAGGCACCTCCAACAGGGTCTTTGCACCGCTGTCCACCCCTAGCCTCAGCCAGCCTAGACCATGGTATGTACAGGGAGGCTTTGGGATACAAACCCAGAATCTTCTTA